GTTTTTTACCTTATAAAGTCTGGTTTCATGTTCAAGCTGGCGCCAACAGGGCGGACATACTTATTATCACCTGACGATCATTAATTAATTTAGTAATATACCTGCCAATCATTTGACGCTCAATATTAACTTAAACTACTTATAAAACTTGATCAATTATGCTTGAATTTGGTTAAAAAAAAATTAAATATAAAAGTTAAAATAAGATAAATTTATAAATAAAATTTAAAGATACATTAATATCTGAAATTTCCAATTGAAGCAAAATTAATAGATTTATGTATTATCACTATTATGTGATAAAATCGAATAATTGCACTAAAAATTGATGGCAGAAGATGAATATGCATAGCAGAAGTTTAAAACTTTGCATAGATATTTTTTACATCATATATAATCTATGAAAAAATAATACAATATTTGCTTTCATAATACAGGTTTTTTACTTGTAAAGAAGTCAGCTAATTATAATATTTGCTTATTAAAAATTAAAAGGTTATTACTTATGAAAGTTAGCCAGTAATGATTTGATTTGGATAAAAATCTATTTAATTAAAACTTGATATAAAATAAAATTTTCAGTAAATTTTGGTAATATTCTGATATATGAAATTTTTAATGAAGTAAAAAAAGAATATAACGGCACTAGTGATAAAATTGTGAATGATCGACAAATGATTGGCAAAATCAAAGTGATAAAATGAAGATGTCCGCCTTGTTGCTAATGCCCTACAAAAAAAAGTAATTTAAAGAAACGTTAGTAAAACATTTCTATAAAATCAACTTTAAAAAAGTCCTCACCTTTCAAAGCAGAAATGAGCCCTATAAAAAGTATTTATATTTAAAATATAATTAAAAACTTTTTAAAATATATTTAAAATATACTTAAAATATATTTAATTTAAAAATTGTGAAATACTTATAATATACTTAAAATGTATTTAAAATTATCTTAAAATATATTTCTAATATATTTAATTTTTGCCCAAATACTTAAAATATACTTAAATTATATTTAAATTAAAATTTAAATATATTATAGATATATTTTTTACATACTTAAAATATACTTATAATATATTTTATAATATATTTTAAGTATATTTTAAGTATGTAAAAAATATACTTATAATATATTTTATAATATATTTTAAGTATATTTTAAGTATGTAAAAAATATACTTATAATAATCTTATAATATTGATATACTTAAATTTTAATTTAAATATAATTTAAATATATTTTAAGTATATGGGCAAAAATTAAATATATTAAACATATATTTTAAGATAATTTTAAGTATATTTTAGATATATTAAAAATATATTATAAGTATTTTGCAATTTTTAAATTAAGTATATTTTAAATATATTTTAAGTATATTTTAAGTATAATACTT